GCAATAAAAAATATAATAATAAATCGATTAATATAGCCTGGATCGCAACTCCAAAGCTATATGCACTACGTACATACGAAGCAATTTTTTTCGTTATATTCCCGCCTTCTCGCAGTAATTGCTCGAAGTCAGATATTATAGGTTATCTTTTTAATTTAGGAAACTTTGTTCCCTACATAGCATTATATATACTCCCTTTTTCCGAACATGAGAAGAAAAAAAATTTCAAATCGACAGATCTGATCCAAGGTATTGACGTGTATCATGTACCTGGCATATATCGATTATTTTCTCGAGAACCTCTTTGAGCAATACTATATCTTCTTTGATCCCATTGATATTTTTGGTAATTTTATTACGTAGAGCTATGGATTCCAAGACTTTTGATCAATCTCGTGCCTTACCTGTATTCATTTTCCGAATAATTACTCTAACCACGACCTATTCAATTTTTTGGGTATAGTGATCCAGGATAATTAATTTCGATTTGAAAAAAGAATCTCCATAGTGTATATAACCTAAAGAACTGTTCATAAACTACCAAACCTATTATAACATTCAACCATATCAGCTATCACAACTAAAATCGTTGAAAAATACAATCTCAACCCCAAGATGAGTCTATCTGAACTTAGTCAATACACCTCAGAGTTTCTCGAGAATCTTACAGATAATAGAAAGCGGAATCAGGCACGCAGACGCCTTCGCGATGGTTTTAAATTTAGCAGTGAACAGGTAAGTATATTGATACCTAATCAGAAAGGTGGGAAAAATAAAGCCATAAATGTTATCAAGAGCAGTTGTAAAATAGCTATAGCTTCACCCCCCAAAGATTTGAAAGAAGAGATTATTAGAGAGATAGCAAAATGAATCTTACATAATAGATATGGGTTTAATGGAAGTCAAGTGGATGATTTATTCTCTATCCAGAAAAATTGTAGTGGGGACGTAAATATTGTGATCTCTAATCAACTCTCGAAAGGAATGGAGGAGGAAACTATTGGAGAGATGGCACATCGGCTTTTACGGGATAAGCTTAGTATTCAGGATATAAGAGCTGAAGCTTATGCCTTAGCCCTATCGGCAAAAAATGCCAATGCTGGTTCATCACGTCTTTCCCGACTCCGAAGAAAATTAAAAAACCTTGGTGCTTCATTCCAAATAATTGAGGCCACGAAATTCCCAGATATTACAGAAGATGCTAATAAAATCCAGAGGGATAATCAGAAAAAGGCTGAAGCTAATCGTATTGACTATCCGGATCATTTTACGTTAGAATCGGTCAGAGAGAGATTGGATAGTTATGATGTATATACTTTACCCGACTTACAAGCTCTCGCAGATGTTATGATAATGCTTTGTATCCGCCCTGCTGAACTTACAACTTTATGTATTACAGATGCTGGAGTAACAGGTTATGCGAAGAATCGAGATCAGCCAGACATTCCTCGAAAATTTAGATCTATGGAGAAGGATCGAGAAAGAGCCCGAGATTTACTCACTTGGATACAGAATGCTATATATTCTGGTCGAATGGGTAATCCAGGTAAGCCAGGGGTTAAATGGTTCAATAGATTCTTAAAAAATTATGATTTAATTCCTAAATACTTATGTAAATTGGGTGCAGTTTATGGTGCAGTAGTACATGCTAAAAATCCAGCACATTTTATGACAATAGCTGGGCAATGTTTACGACACAATCCTGATAACCATACTTCTCCGATTCAAAATTACGTTGTAGTGAATTATAGGCCCAGGGGGGTTCCTTATGAGCAAGCAAGACCATTCCAAATTTATGATAACTAATCATGCTTCTTCACTTTTATTGCAGAGCAATGGCTTCCGCCTACCATATTCGCAGTAAAACTTTTATCATCATTAGACGATCCAGAGTCAGACTCAGATGATGATTCAGAGCTAGATGAGGATGAGAACTCAGATGCTGTATCATTTAAAAATCTCTTTTTTCTTTTATCCTCAGATGGTCTACGATTTCTTCGAGGAATGTCTGGGTTCGTTATTGAGTTTATAATATCTTGCTGAATTTCGGGTTTCGCTATCTTCAGTAATTGGCGGAAGGAAATCTGAATTTTTTTATTTGACACTTGTTTAATAATGCGAGATATCACACTATTACAATTTCGAAATTCATGATTATTATCTGATGTAGCTTTATTCATTGTCAATATCGTATCGTAATATGTACCTTGGTACTAGCTTTGCTATTATTTATTATATTAATACATGATAAAATTCACAATAAATTATAATTATTTTTCGATTATAGTATATATCATTAAATAATATTTAACATGCACATTAGTACACTTGTCGAAGGGAAAATCCCAGTAAAAGCATTAATCGATACATCGTCGAGGTTTAATACCATTAGCAAGAGCTTGTTCGATAAGCTTAAAGAAGATTGCGGGTTGGGATGTCTATCTGGTGATGAATTGATAGGTAGAGAAATAAAATGCTTAGATTTACAGTTTCACTATAAAGGAAAGTGGCGGAGCTTAGATGGTACTGAAGTAATAGACTTTCAAATTCACAAAAACCCATCGTTCGATCTGGTATTGGGACAAGATTGGTTATGGATGCGCGAAGCAAAAATTAGCTTTGGATTTTCTCTGGGCACCTGTAAGCACTATGCTAAAATTGAGATAGATGGTATGAGTATCCCATTAATCAAAGAAGATAGCAGGCCCTTTAGAGACGACTCTTTGAATCATAAAGCCAGCTCCACTAAAAATAACTTATCTAAATCAACGGAATCTAAACCTGATCTAGCTCAAGAGGAGGTTATAAATATAATCAACAAAATTCTCTCAGGTGCCCAAGATATTAAACACCAAAAAAGTCATCATGGAATATTTCGCAACATACCTCCTGTACCTTCAACACCCAGAAAATTGGACGATGATGCTTCCAAAAATAGCAGAGTTACCAAGAATAAGAAATATCCTAAAGTAGATTTAGGCGATGGATGTGGAAATCTTACAATCAAAACGCACCTCAATAATATTTGGAAGTCGGTTCATTCTATAGAAAATGATATAGAGACTAATTCATCCAGCTCTGATTCAGAATCCACGGGTTCAGACTGGTATGATCTCGATCCAATAAAATTCCGAAAGAATCGTGTTCATATTAAAAAGAAAAAGGTTGACTCTCCTATCCGAAAACATCGTAAAAAAAAGCGTGTCAACTGTGTCCACATTCCAGAGTAGTGATCCCTCCAATCAGAATAATTAAAAAACCGTTAACGGTCGGAAATTTATCAACCAATCACAACATGGGTAGGATCAGCATAGAAGTTCATGGAACATATGATTATCGTTAAATTTTTTCGTTTATATAGGCTGGGAAATACGTCTATACTACATGCTTTTGTGATAA